AGTAGTAAAAGTAATAACAATAGCACGGATGATCATAATAATACTACAAAAATTCTGTGAAACAGCCACCAAAACCCAAGGCCTGCTCGAACTGCTTGGCATACTGAGGAGCGACATCTTGTAGCTCTGGCCCATACCTCAGGCGGACCTTGCACAGGATGCATCACAATGGTGGCATGCTGTTAAGGAACCTCAATTAAGTTAGCATAATGGGTAGGTTTAGGGTTTAGGGTTTAGGGTAATATATAATGGAGAATCAAATGGAAAACAAAATGGAAAATGAAATGGAAACTGGGGGAATAGAGGGGTTGAAGGAACTTAAGTTTAGCTACCATAATGGGTATATCTAGGAACTAAGATGGTTTTCCCCAAAATTGTAGCTTAAGTTGAGTTCCTTATCGGCAACCCCAGAATTATGCTGTAATCTTTCCCAGAAATGCAGGGCATTTTGGGGAGTCTGTATGATATTGCCATTTCTATCATGACAATAAATGGAGTTTCTTTTTGGGGCCTGCAGGCATTCGAAATTTTGAGGTCATACGCCCTACAATGAAGTACAGAATGCTATGCTGCTATATGAATATGGGGAGAAGCCTAGAAATAGCCGTTGAGATGTCTTGAGGCTTAAGGGGGAGGTTAGGGTTAAGGTTTGGGACTTAGAGTTTAGGAGCTTAAGCTTCAGGACTTAGCGTTTAGGGTTCAGGGGACTGAGACAATGATTCTCAGAAGACGTTTGACACGGGCATATGGAAGCTTTGAGCGGAGTTGAGTTCAACATCGGCATCCTGGTTGGGTCGTTCTAAACTGGTCCAAGATCGTCCAAGATCCCAATTCATACCTGTCTGAAGAGTCCTCTTATTATTTACACAGTCGGGCATTCTAGGTTATAGGAGGAGCCCCACCCTGTAGCGGTAAAATAGGAATATAATAGGACCCTAATATGATCCGTAATATCCTTTCTGGTCATTATTACATGGTGGGGGGGGGTCCACCTAATTTATCCCAATACCCTAAACCTTAAACCCTAAACTATAGGATTATACCAGGGCTGAACCTGCCACACTGCCCGCCTCCACAAGGGCTCCATACCGAAGCTCCACCCAGTCCACCTGTTGGGACAAAACACGTGCTTGAAAGCTTCAGGAAGCTCTTTAAGCTAAGCTCAGGGCTTAGGGTTTCGAGTAGTTGGGGCATTTGCACAAAAAGACTCATCTTTTTTCAATGGTCTATTGGTATCCTTGAAGGGAACTCCATGTTTGAGTGTCTCGAGGCCGCAGTCTCCCTTTGTTCCCCCAAAATTTGGGAGTTTCCCACAATCCCCTATCGAATCCTGAAATGGACCCCCCCCCCTGCGTTGCCATCTCATGTTGAGAAACCTTCCATATCATCCTTCCATCGTAGTAGACCTGCAGCTTAAAGAACCTATTGGAATGTATCTTGCCCTCCCTAAACCCTAAGCCTTGGGTACTGCCCCCACCCAGTAACAGTCCATATTAGGGGTCCTATTAAGGGCTATAGATAACCATATTATACTTATTATCCAACTGTTACTGAGGAGGGGCAGTACCCAACCTAAACCCTACAGGACCGGTTTTGAAGGACACTGAATCGTTGCAGGGCCTCTTTGGAGTTCCAGGTCCATTGGGGGGGAGGTACACCCCATGATCTAAACACTGCTGTTTATATACTACCCATGTACTGTAAGACCTTTTAGGGCCTATCTATAAACAAAAACTTAAAGCCCTGAACCATAGCCCCTAAACCCTGATCCCGAAACCCTACACACCTAATCCCGAAGCCCTTCAAACCCTTTTCACTACAGAACCCTGACCCCTGAACCCTAAACCCTAATCCCTCAACACTACTCCCTGAACACTAATCCCTAAACCCTAAACCCTAAGCCCTAGGGTGGGAGGGATCATGGTGAGCTGGTCCGCCTTGAGGATGGCGTCGCCCACGCACTTCGGCACAAAGGCGCCGCCATCTGGCCTGGCTCTCTGGGCTGAGCTTGAGTTGTGGTGCAGGTTTTATGGATTAGGGTTTAAGGGTTAGGGTTGAAGGGTTCGGGTTTAAGGATAAGGGTGTAGGGTTTAGGGATTTGGGATTGGGGTTTAGGGTAATGTAGGGTTTAGGCTTTAGGGCTTCGGGTTCTATAGGGATTATACAGAGGCCATAATATAGGAGGGTTATGTAGGGGCTGAAAGATATGTCATAATTATATGTGATTCTTTTGGGTTTATAAAGGGGGATGTGTTATCTGAGTCCGCGCCCAACAGTCTCAACTATGTAATAATAATACTAATAGTAACAATAATACTAATGGTAATAATAGTAGCAATAATAGTAATACTAATAATAACAAATAACAGTAATAATAATAGTAATAGTAATAATAATAGTAGTAATAATAATAGTAATAATAATAGTAATAGTAATAATAATAGTAATACTAATAGTAATAATGATAGTAATAGTAATAATAATAGTAATAATAATAGCAATAATAATAGTAATAGTAATAATAGTAATAGTAATAGTAATAGTAATAATAGTAGTAATCGTAATAATACTAATAATAATGGCAAAGCCCGGTGCCTAAGCGGCTCGTTGTTCTCGCCTTGTTTGGCGTAGAGGCCCTCATCCTCCCCCAGCCTGAAGGGAAGGGTTTAGGGTTTAGGGTTTAGGGTTCCCCAGCCTGAAGGAAGAAACATCATGGCACTCAGCACCCCTACCAAAAATCATAATCCCCCTTAAGTAGATAGAATATGGCTTTGGGTATATTATAATAAGATCCCCAATATACCCCATATTCTATCTACTTAAGGGGGACTATATCGTTTAGGTACCTGTAATAGGTGTATCGAGGAACTCCAAGAACTTGCGGATCTAAGGTCGTAGCTAAGTGCTAGGGAGGACTGCACGGGATTTTCTAACTCCTCCAAAACACAAATTGGGACACCCCGGCCGACCCCAGCTATAGCCTCTCCTCCTGCAATTTCTTTTGAGAGCACTGGGGCGGTGCGCCACTTTGATGAATGGGTGCAAAATCCTGCAGATCCGCACATTTAGACTATCTACATACATTCTTTTGTGGAAGCTTCTGCCGACTCTTGTTTCAATGCTTCACACGCCTTTGCGCCTGTTCCATGCCCCGCTTCTGGTCCTGGTCATTTTCAGTTCTCCAAACAGTTCAGAACTTCCCACCTGTACCGATTATTTGTCAGTGCCCATGACCTTCTCTCATATGACAAGGGCCTTCCCAAAAACACGCGGAGTTTTGAGAAGTAGGGACCCCAGGGCCCTAGGGATACCTACGGATGGGCGAAGTCGCAGGGCTTTGCTGCTGCCCTTCACCACAACAAACCTGCGCCTTGCCTCTTCGACTCTAGGCATATGATGAAACACGACTGTGATGGATACTGGTGAGAATGGGGACCGTATCCTAAACCCTAAGCCATAAACCCTAAGGCTACATCCAACTTGAGTGCTTCCTACCCAGCAATTCCTTGTAGAATCCAGCCCATAGTTTGCTCCGAGCCTGTCGGCCGATTTGGAAGTAGGGAGCATATCCGACCATACTACGGCACCTTGCATTCTGGGGTAGAGCTATACCCTAGGGCTCCTGTCTATAAACAATATCTACATAAGGCCCCAAAATCTATAAATCTATAAATATGAACTACATGGAGCCTTAGGGATAAGACCCCAGAGAATACCCCTGTGTGGTTCTTTGACAGGGTTGGTGATCTGATCCAAGGAATCCTTCACAGCATTTTGTGCTGCTGGGCGCTCACGAGACGTGCTCTTGCGGCGAACGGCTTTTTGCCGTCGGGTAAAGTGCAGCAGACTTGCGTCTTCGGATGCCTCCCACATGCGGCTTTTGACCGTGGGGCGCAATAATTGGCTGCGCATGCCGTGGCACGTGGTGTGCCTCGACTGCGCAATACATGCTTGAAATGGCGCAGTAGCTACAGGGCAGGCCAACAAGCTTACAAACGCGACCTGGACGGCCTGCGTATTTGGCCAACAGCTGTGCTGGGCTACGCTATCCTACTTAAATTGGTGAAACCGCCCTCCTTAGAGGGAAAAAGCAGATCGAGCTTCAACGGTTTGAGCAGGAGACACGGGCGCTCCAGGCGCGAGACCTTCAGCAGGGCCCACAGCAGCCACAGCTGGAGCCGGGGCTGGAGCCTCTGCCCAGGAAGAGGAAGCTGCATTCTGGCCCTCTGCTGCTCTGCGGGTGGCTCTCCGCTTCAGCTCATTCTTTAGGACTAAGGCCCTTGTCACGACAGTCTGCGAGGAATCTGCGAAGGCATCCGTGGTGTCGCGGGAGACGCGCCAGGCTACGTACAGCACCTGAGCTTGGTTCTTTTGGACCTCCTGGCCTTTAAGGCTCGGAGAGTTGGCTCCACACCAAAAGGATCCAAACATGAAAACAAACACTCCAGCAAAAACCCAGACACCGCCACCATGGGAAGGCTGAGGCTAGCCACCCAGACCTTAACTGATCACACTCCTAAAGAAATACTGTATCGAGGGAGGGGAATAGTGATAGGCCTTCAGGGAACAAATTCGGAACCCCCTTCGATGTGGAATGGACAGGAACAATAGAAATTAGCATAGCCTTGTGGAATTACGCAGAGGCTACAATAGGATCTCTTCCTCCGTTTTCTAGTGTCTTAATAAGTTACCTCTCAACCCTTAACCCTACACATCCCTATACGCCCCCATTTGTGCTTCAGTTTCTACTTGCTTTTCCGTGTGGTTTCCACCCTAAACCCTAAACCCCTAAATCCATTTCCTACTAGTTAGCAACCAGGAAGTCTGAAAGCTTCTATAAACTCGCCCCGGCAACATAGAGGCTGGAGATCACTTGGAAGCTGCTGACACTTCGGAAGCACAAGGAGTCTGTGAGACCTTTCCAGAAACCTGAGCAGATTGGGACAGAGCTTAAAGGTTTTTTTTTTTAGGTTTATGGGTTTGGGGGGGTTGAGGGTTGAGGGGTGCAGGGCCTCAGGGTATAGTAGGTATAGGTATTGAGGTACTAGGAGGCAGTGACTTGGGGTGTTCAGGGGTCTACATGCACCAAGCTTCTCCAGACAAGGAGCTTTCCATGAAGGAGCAGTCGAAGCCATCCAGTAGAGAGAATACTGGGTCGACCAGATGCCCATAGACGATAGCTTTCAAGTCAGTGGCTACCTGGGGGATTGTCAAAATTATGATCCCTTTTTGGGTCCCCTAAATTAGGCCCCGTATTATAATAGGGACCCAAAAAGCGACCATGATTTTGACAGTCCCCCACCTGATTTAGGAGCTCCACGACTGTGTCGTCCAGATACTGGAAGATCTTGTACAGCCACATCTCGAAAGATTGGATGTTCTCCTCAAACTCCGATATGTCACAATCCTGCTCAAAGAAGGTCACCGTTCGATTCGGGTGAACGCAACTGTTTATCCATGTGCCGTTCTCTTTGTACATGTTCTCGATGTTGCATTTGGTGCCAGGAGGTGCCCCAGGCAACTGTATATATCTGCATCGAAAGATGGGAAGGGTGATGAGAGGTAGCTTGCGCTCTAAGAGAAAGGCCTTGGAGGCCTCACAGGATTCTCTAAGAGGCAGGTTGGAGTCTGCGCAATCGCCCTCCAAGCGGATGGGGCAATTCCAGGTCATATCCTGGGCGGGAAAGATTCCGGGCATACGAGGCCCGCTGCCAGTAGAGATACCATCCACCACCATGGAGTTCAGCCCAGGAACATAGGCATTGGCCAACACTGAAGGCAGTTGATCAGGCAACTGAAGATCTTGGCAGAGGACGCTGACGACATAGTATGGAGGAGGCATGGCCTTGTAGGTGGAGTGTGCTTGGATCTCAGCCGGGTTGGGCCAGTACATGGCCTTAAAGTTCACGCTCCCGAGATATCCACGGATCTGTGCCAAAATGGGGTTGTCAGCCAGTCTTAGGGGTTGCGAGGCCATAGCTTCTTCAAGTACCAGGAAGGTCTCATCAATCTTAGAAGCCACCAAATCTGCAAGTAGTTCTCGGGCTGTGCTCATCTCACCCGGATAGCTGGGTGACGTTGCAGGGAACTCAAGGATGTCAGCTACGTTGCGTGTGGTGTTGCCCTCAGACTTCAGGCTCATGCATCGATCCGCCATCCTCAAGGCCATGTTGACATTGTCGCTTGCTGGGACGCCAAGGGACTGCAGGAGAGTCTGCCCACTCTGCTCATCGAAGTCCACCATGGCCAAACAGACCCCTCCCCCCACCATGGTAACAAGTAGCAAGATTCCGCCTATGAAAAACATTATCCCGGCAAAGATGTAGGTGGTGCACATGGCACTTGCACTGCATGTGCAAACGCAGCAAGGATCAGGCTCCTCCCCCCCTCGGTGGCAGAGGCTGTAAGCCAGCAAGGCCAAGATCCCGAGGATGGCCACCCCACAACTCGCAAGGACAACGGCCAGCAAACTAGGGTACACCACCGAAGACTCTCCTACCAGGGAGGTTGTGGCTGTCTGAAAGCCATCATCTGCCTCGCTGACGAAGTAACCTACCTGCTGAAGCATCTGCTCCTTCATGGTCTCCAGAGGTTCCTTCGTCTGCTGAACGGTTCGCCGCAGATTTGCCAAAGTGTCCCCATCCAGCTGGCTGTTGACTTCTGATCGGACTTGTTGCAGCGCCAACGCAACACCTCTGCTTCAAAGACAGGAAATTGCTTTGGTATGGTTGGTAGCCGCATCAATCAACAAAAACGGCTTGCCTCGAAACAGCCTATCCCTAAGCAAGTGCCTTCGTCGAAGAGCCTGATGACCTCAGCCAGGGCTGTGCTCAAAGGTTCGCAGGCTGCACAGTTGTGAAGGTATCCAGCCGGTCGCTGGTTCTGGCTGTCATTCAAAAGGGACCTTGGTTGGTTGCTACGGGGGCGTGAGGTCTACTTGCGAACTTTAATTTTTTGCCAGACAACCTGGCAAGAACGCCCAAGTCCTCCAACTGCCTTTTCTACGTATGTGGGGGCGGGGATGGTAACGTCAATTAGCTTGTCCAAGCGGACGTGCGGTGGATGTAGGCAATCTTGCGCAAACTGCAATTAATCGTGCTCTTGATTAATAAGGGCGCCCCCTGACTCCCCTCCCTATATTAATAGAAAAGCCTCACTATTTCAGGAGCCCCAAATGCCAGAAGGAGATTTCAATTGTAACTGACGTCCACGGAACCCCGATTGGGGTCCAAGCAAAATCAATATGAGTTCAATTAAAGTCATTTGAATCTTGTTGAACTCGGACGCTCATTTTTAGAGATTGGGATAATTTTCTTCAAGTCCAAAGGTTTTTCGGCCCAAAACCTGCCTTCGCCTTTAAAGTAGTCTTTCACCCCCTAATTTGCCCCGAAGAATTTTCTTTAAATCTAAGAGGTTTTACGAATCAAGAGCACGGATGGCAAATCTTGAGACCAGATAGAGTGGTGGTGCAAGATATCTCCTCCACCTACAAAATGGTATTTTCCCAAAATAGGGGGACCCCAATATAGAACCCAAAATACTATAGACCTTATTATAGGGGCCCTTAAAATGGTACCCCTAATTGTAGGAAACCCCCACATCTTGCTAACAAAATCCCAGGGAACTGCAAGGTAGCCAGCATATCCCCAACAATGTTCACGGCTCGCTCTAGCTCGTCTGTGGCACTTAGCAGGCCGCGCACATCCTCCAGAAAAGCTGATCCGGGTTCCAGGCTCTGAGACCTCGATCTAGGGGTTCAGGGCTTAGGGGTTTTAGGGTCTTAGGGGCTTAAGGGTTTAGGGGTTTTAGGCTTTAGGAGGTTTAGGCTCTAGGGGTTTAGGCGTTTAGAGGTTTAAGGGTTTAGGGGTTTAAGGGTTTAGCGGTTTTAGACTTGAGGGGTTTGGGGGTTTAGAGGTTTAAGGGTTTAGAGGTTTAAGGGTCTAGGGGTTTAGGCTTTAGGGGTGTTAAGGGTTTAAAGGGTGTTAGGCATTAGGGGCTTGAGGGGGGTTAGGGGTTTAGAGTTTTAGGGTTTAGGCTTTAGGGGTTTGAGTCTTTAGGGGTTTAAGGGGTAAGGGGTTGAAGGGCTTAGGGGTTAAGGGTCTATAGCAGGGAAGGAATAAACAACCCCTAGAATCGTCCCTGACATAATCCCCTATATAAATACCACTTTAAGGAGTTTAGACTACAGCTCTAATATATTCTAAACCTAAATCCTAAATACTCGTTTCCTTTTCATTTTCCATTATCCCAATATAACCCTCATATAAGGTAACCCACAATTTCCAGTTCCTTGTTTATGCCTTCCCTCCCTGCTAACCAGAGGGCAAGTCTATAGTTTCGGGCAGAGGCTTGCGCGGTGGGGAGAGGGCTTGCCAGAAGTTTAAAGCTGGAATTGTTCAAGGCTAGTTTTGTAAGGCTTGGAGGCATCACTCAAACATGCTTGGTATAAGACTTCAAATCAGACTCAAATGGGTGGTTGTCAAATTTATGATCCCTTTTTGTGTACCCCAAATATTAGGTGCCGTATTACAATAGGGATCCAAAAAGGGACCATAATTTTGACAACCACCCAAATATCTCTATGAAACCTTTACAAACACACCTTAGGAGCAAGGCATCCAGCATGTTCCAGGCCGGCAAGAGGCCTACAAAGCCCATGGATGGGTTGCCTGCAACAGCATCGTGTACCAGCCTAGCGGAGAAGCAACCAGTCCCTTGGATGCCCATCTCAATTTCCTGGTGCTCCTCTGTGCTTAGGTTTAGGGTTTTCGGGCTTTAGGGTTTTAGGGTTTAGGGTTTTAGGGTCTCGGCTCCTCGGTGCTTAGCGTGCTGAGGGCAATGACCAAGCCGGCTAGAAACAAGAATGACACCCACAGGAGAAGCTGGAATGCGACTGATCTCCCGAATTTCCATTTCCTCTGACAACAGCAGCAACAGCATCTCATGCACCCAGGGCAACATATGAACCAACAAGCGAAATGCCAGACAATCCACAGCAAGAACGCCATGAAAAGCGGCGTTGCCTTTCGAACTGCAAATACAGGCCGTACGCTCTCTTGCAGCGCAGTCACCAGATCCTGCATTTCGCCATCCTGTACTGCGGCGGCAGTTTGCAACAGAGCATTGTAAACAATGTTGTCCTCCCCGGCACTCAGTTCCAGATTCTTCCGGGCTTGATCATAATCAATCTCTGGCATTTCATATTGGGGACAGTACTTATCTACAAGCGCGCTCGCTTGATCCAGCATGGCTTGGTCTGTCTCGTTCCGAGCTGAACATGTCAGAAAGATCGTCAGGGCAAGAGCTTTAAACATAGCCATGGCGCGTTCCGTCGCTCGGAATTTGTCCTGCGCAGCCTTGAAGCAAAATGCTGCGGCGGAGCTCAGGGGCATCTGCCAGCGGTGCAGCTGCATCATAAGGAAGTTCCCTAGCCGGCCAACCCATTCCTTACCTCTGTGACATTTGAGTTCAGGAGATCTGAGCAAGGTGCTGACTAGCATAATATGAAGTGCTCTTCACAGCTAAAGTCCCATGTTTATTATTACTATGTCTAGTAGGTCTTTCAGTAAACGAGGGGCCCCGATATAGACCTCAGTATACTGTAATCCTGATTATACAAGTAGGACCCCTGATTTCATCTCTAGAAACCTCATTGATCCCTAAGCCTAAATCCAAAATAAGATGGCGGTTCAATCTTGGTATTCGAGTTTCCCTTCAATCTGATTCTCCTTTCTGTGAATGTTGCAAGCATTTTCAGCGGTGACAAACCGTCACTCAGAGCCTCCACTCCACGCAGGTGTTCTGCACGAGAAGGCTGCCATCAAAAGGCCTTCCACCGCAAAATCTGAGTATCACTAGTTATGTTCATGATTGTTATTAATTAGTATTACGTGCTATGAAGATAGGAACAGGGAAAACCTGACAGGCCAGTAACCTTCTGTTCGGCCATATCATCACCAACTATGCTACATCATGACGCAGCAAAAGAGCCCGCAAGTGCTTGGTAATATGGAGAGCTGCTTTTATACCAAAACGTCTGCCAGAAGACAGACCCGATTCGGGCAGCCAGCAGTACTGCAGGGTACCTAGAACATCTGACTCTTGTACTCATAAGTCTACGTAAGCGGGCACGGACAGCAGTGTCACCATCGCTGCCATCATTGTTTTGCCGATCGACCCAAATTGGTCTACAGGTCGCCTTGAGCCTTGCGACAGAGCCCTTGAACTGATCCCGCGCTTCGTTCGCACATGAAAACTTCCGAGTATAGTCCCTGTCCAGCGGCTAAACGCATGGGGTTCGGACATGCATAAAATGAGATCCCTGTGTCACCAAGCTCCTTGAGGTTTTGATGCTTTCGATTTAGTATTGGCTTTGAGGGTCACCTAAACGCCCACGATTCACCGCGGGGCCAGCACACCTGCCTATCCCGAAATGAACAACCACATTGCTAGATTGTCATTGCTCTTGGTCGGGGCACCTGTTGATGAAGAAAGAGCCCAAGACTGGGTCGCCGCGTCGCAGGACCTCAGCACAGAACGCAAAGTATTCTTCAAAGCTCCTTCTCGCTCTTCAAAGTCCGCCTCCCTCTGTGCTCCACTCAAAGCAAATCCTACCATGGCTGTATACTTCCAAGCTGCTGAATTATTGTCCGCGTGAATCACGGAGGTATAGGTGAACTGCCTCAAATCAGGCCTCATGTGCCCCTTGTGCGCCTTGTCCCGTTTCCTCTAAAGCCCTTGCTGAGGGCCGGGGTGAGAGCTACATGTTGGATGGTGCGGGGGTAGGCTCAAGCAATCCAGAGGCAATCTTCTTACTGGTTCTTAGTAGGGAAGAAGGGAATCCCTACACAATAACCCCTTATTCCCTACTAAGAACCAGCAAGTCCTTGAATCCTTTTTTTTGTCAGCGAATGCATTGTGGTACAAAGCCGTTCAAGGGCTCCAAGGACCCCGAGGCTGAACCTCCTTGTTCTCCTCGTGCTACTGGGGTCCACAGATATAATAGGACTTGTTACTTTCCACTCTACATGTAGGCAATGGTCTTCCTTGAGTTGCAAAATTCCGACAATGATCCATATCGCCTGCAGAGGTTCCTTGCTCAGGGCTCTTCCAAATCCCGATTGAAAGTCGGGACATCCTGGCACCGGCGGCCTAGGCCTTCTTCAGCAGTTCAAAAGGGCCAGCAACGATAGTCCTGGAAGCCCTCAGCCGCCCTGTTAGCCCAAATTCCTAAGCCCAACAGCGCGAAGTGCCAATGCTAATGGTGTCCTAGACGGCCTAGGCCTTCTTGTGGGGCAGGCCGTCTGGGAAGAGTTCCGAAATAGTCTCAGCGGATCCTGGGTCAGCAACTTCCTCCACATCATCCACCTCGGTCCATGGGAGGGGGTGGTTATCTTGGGGTTGTATTGGGAGAATGGAAAAGAAATGGAAACTACTATAGTATATTGGGGTTGTATAGGGATGATGGAAAAGAAAATGAAAGCTAGTGAGGGAAATCGGCATCTCTCGAAACATGAATAGGCTACAATTAGAATTTTGGGTGTCAAGGGGCCCGAATTTTGAGACATGCCCACTGCCCCAAGGCAAACACAAACCATCTAGACCACAGCTGTCCCCACACCGGTCCTGCATACAAAAAAAAAGCATTGCCCTGATAATCCGGACCGGCCAAAACCCAGAGGGTCCAAGTACCCAATAATTAGGTACTTGGGTTTTGAGTAATATTGATTTTAATACAGGTTTTTGGGTAAGTATATGATTATTAGGTACTTGAACCGTTAGGGAAAGGGACCCGCAACCTGTGCTTCTGCAAATGCAAACCAGCCACGTCCTCGTCCTCTTCGTCATCCCCAGGCATCTTCAGGGGCTTGCTAGGGTCAAACTTCTCACCCGTCACAAAAGAGATGTTGTAGGCGGCACACCAAGCCTGGGAATGGGCAACTCACATGCGAGGTCCTGCATGGCAGTTGTCCTGCGCTGCCATTGAAGAAAATAAAGTGTGAGGAGACAGGTTTTTGGGGAAGTGGAGGTTCTGATGGCTCTATGATGTGCCGTAGCGAGGCTCCTTACATCAGCAGCACAACAGTCTTGATCCCTGACTCAGTGAGCAGGTTTTTCCATGTAAAATACGCACGCGGATAAATCGGCCATCACCGAGATAGCCGGAGGCTGCAGGACTTGCTGACACAAATGGTCCCTCCCCACTACTCTGGGAATGCAGAGCCTTGCGGACACCGCCCCGCACCTGTATGCCACAGCCTCCCACAACTGCATTCCCAAACATCTAAACTAAGATCCCAAAACCCTGATCCCTAAACTCCCGAAGATACCGCACACTGGCTGTTGAGGGCCCGACTCCGTGGCAGGAGCCACAGTGCTCCTCGGACTTGGAGCAGTAGTCCTCGCACCAAGATTCATGCATGAAAAATCTGCGTGACCCCAAGCATAACATATAAAAAAGGGTGGCAAGCGCAGGGTTTATGGACAGCATCCAGCTTGACCCTAAAGGATAGTACACTTCCAGGCAATGCAGCACTCCATCCATCAACCGCATGCAAAGCGCTCACGCCCCAGGGCTGCTAAGGTATAGGCCCAGGGCTGAAAATTTATTATGATTAGGTTAGGGGCTACAGTAGGGTTTAGGGTGCAGGTCTTAAGGTTTAGGGTTAGGGCTTTAGGTTCAGGCTTTAGTTAAGGTTTTAGGGTGTAGGTGTAGGGCGTGGAGCGTCGGTGAACGACATCCCGCACTATTCTATGTGGGTAGTCTAGGGACAGATCAAGGTGGCGACAGCTTTGGATAGACAACAGGGTCGCGCGCTGACCTCAAAACCCCCCCCCAGAGCCCGAGCCCTTCTGCAAAAGAACACCTATAACCCTGTATCCTAGAATGTTTTGTAGTGACTAAAGAATGGGCACTGAACAGAACGAACTGTTGGCTCCACGGAAGAATAATGAGTACGGAATAGAGTGACGTTTTGCCTAAACGGAGTGATAGCAAGGCAGGAACCGAATAATTGAGTTTAGGGTTTAGGGTATAGGCTTTAGGGTTCAGGGTTTAGGGTTGGGGTTTAGGGTTTGAACAGGCATTGATCCCGGGAATGGAAACTTAATTGACAGGGCTCAAGACCACCGCGCCAAGTTTGCTCAAATTTGATTGGGGGACGCCGGACTATCTAGAATCTCTACTTGTTCGTAGGGAGGGCTTATTGAGGCGTCCCCTTTTAATCTTCAACCTTAACCGCGTAGTCCCTACACTCCCTAACATGCCCGTGTAGAGTCTGGTTCCGTTCACTCTGAGCATGGTTAGCCACCTCAGCATAAGGGGCTCAGAGGAAGCTGCAAAAGCGCCTACCTGGATCACCCAGGCACCCAAAAATAAACGAAGAGTATTTACATCACATTCTTTGGGGGAGTAGTATTCTTACTGTTATTGGTATCAGGAAGGCTAGGTCGACTAGGTTGACCAGCTGGTGGTTGTAGCCTTTACCCCAGAAAGATGAGTAACCTTACATGTAGGACGATCATGCCGCCGATGTAACACCAACAAAGGAACTCTTTCATGTCGGAGACCCCTTACCCAGACCCATGATTAATAAACCCCTTCCCCCTAGTAGGGATTATTATTATTATAGAAATCCTAAACCCTAAACCCCAAAACCCTAAACCCCAAAACCCCAAAACCCTAAACACTAAACCCTAAAAATTAACCCCTAAACCCTCTACATTAGGCATCCAGCCCCGGGTCTCCTGCTCAGATGCCACAGAGTCCGGACCGAAAGCCGTGTTACAGGGATCTGCCTTATCCTTGGAGGCTTTGATGCACCTTGCAGCGTCATCAGAGGGGTGGAGAATCATATGGGTGGTTGTCAAAATTATGGTCCCTTTTTGGGTACCCTAAATATTAGGTGCCGTATTAGTGGGGATCCAAAAAGGGACCATAATTTTGACAACCACCCATATGGGGTGAAATGGTGAAATGCTAGGAGTTAAACTGTGATTTCATTCTGCAAGTCAACTGTAGGAGCGACCAAATTTTGAGGACTGCCTGGAAAAGGACTACCCTATGCTCCTGCTTAATACCAAAAAGTATTACGCCAACCTATTGCTACAGACTAGAGCTCTATTGGTGATTAGCTCTTTTCTCGCTCGCAATAAATGTTTAATCAATAGATACTGGTACCAAATTGCGGGTATTCATTATTCGGGAGGGCAGGTGGGGGGTGGTGTAACTAGGTGGAGGGAATGAATAAGAAACTCCATAACGTTAGTGAGTCCAGCAACATAAGAGAGCTGGGAACCACCCTTGAAAGAATTGCTATAGGGTTGCTATACAGCGCTTTCAGGACATAACCTATTACACGTCGGCAGGCATACTGCGAAACATTGTTGCATGTACTTAGAGGAGATTAGGAGGGGGTATTACCTGATTGTGGCATAGGGGTTGTCCTTTCCCAGCCCAGAACCCTCTAAACCAGCAAATAATCCAGCTTCCATTTTGTAATCCCTTATTGGGGTATAACTTGGGCTTTTCCCTGCTTAATCCCTATCTATCTCTGTATGCCCCATACCCCTGATATCGCTCTATAAACTTCTATGTGCCCCCTTTAAAGAACCCTAAGCCCTAAACCTTAAATCCTAAACGCCCTATAAAGGAGCTTCAATATTCAGAGAGCAGGCCTCGGTCCAGGGCACCAGGTGCCACCACAACTGCTGCAGCCTCCCACGCTGGTGCAAGCGGCATCTTGCGAGATATCTGCGCATCCCTGATTGCTTAGGGTTCATGGTTGCGGGTGCCGCGGTTTTTGGGAGATGGACAGGAATTCAGGCTGAAAGCTTGCAAAATAGGACCTACTTCCGGTTGTTTCAAATTCATGGAGGATGGGGCCAAATAAAGCATGGCCGTCTCCCTGTAAGGCAGCCTTCTCCAAGCGAAGCGGAAAAAAACAAATTACAGATGGAGTCCCAAGCCATGCGTGCACAGGCGCTCCCGCCCCTGCATGACGCCCCCTCCTGGCCTCACCTTGCCGTGCTCTGCGACGGATAACTCTGAGGCCCAGTAAGGCAGCCGCTGATGGGGTTCCAGACTACGCGCGCACTGGGGTTTCCAGCCCCTGCATGACGCCCAGCCTCCGTTTCTTCCTATTTCTCCTCCCGGCTTATAACAAGATCGGCAAGCCTGTGTCCTCCTGTGAGAAATAACTCTGAGGCTCTGCACGGCAGCCTGCGAAACTTTGTCTGATTGCTACAGAGCGTGGCACGCAATAGCACCCGGAGCCAAGCCCCAAGCCATGTCCCGCCCAGGTAGTGTTGCGTTCATGACGCACCCCCCTCTTTTTCTTCCTCTTGGGCTCTGCGATTCCGACTGAGGCTGCTTGAGATATCCAGTTCTATCAAAGTATGTGCCACAAACCCCTCAGATTCAAAGAAACAAGACCGCTAAAATAGGAAGAAACCTAACATAAACCGGCCACGATCATAGATTTTGTTCTTAAAAATTAGCACCCCCCCTCCCCCGTGCCTTTTTACAATAGGAAAGAGATGGGGGGGGGATGGGCTTGTAGGTATTCTTGGACTCCTCCCATTGGGAAGGTCTATCATGGGGGTCTGTCGGGACCCCTACTTGCCTGGGAGTTCTATCAGGGAACTCTGACAGCTATACCCGCATACTTTCCTGATTCGCATTGCTCCGGGGACACCGAGGGCCTCGAAATACTCCAATGAAGCCAGGACACGCCACACATGTTCTTGGCAAGACCGTCACCCCGGTAGCAGCAGAAGCCCGAAGCACTCGAGACGGCATTCACAGGGCTAGGCTTGCCCTCGACTTTGGGCGTTTGCTTGGTGATGCCGCGCTTGCACCATTCTCCTGGATGTTTGATGAGATCATAATCAGAACTGGCTTCCACATGAGTTCATATCGTGGGCTATGTATTCTTTGTGAACGATTTGTTTTGTGCGAACACTTATCAGGTCTCCATTGCAAGATGCACAATTCTTGGCTGACTTGCCGCAATAGGTATCACTCTTGGCGGTGCCCGTCTCAAATGCAGTTCCACCTAGGCTGCTCAGCAACTCTTGAGAAAAAAGCAAGTGCACATGCTCAAAGATTATCTCCAAGGAACCGCAACACCCACATTGATAAACTAGAACATGAATAGAGCTATAAGCACCAAAGCCCTGACACACTCAAACCTGAACCCAGACCCCAAGCCAGAACTGACTTACTGCAATAATGGAACAGCATCCCTTTTTTTTTCACCCCTAATGAATCATATTCTCCTTTCTTCCCTACTATCCCCCCAGCACGCTGAACAGCTCAGGCCACACTTGTTGTTTGGATCTGCTGCCCCCATGACGCATTTGGGTTCGCACCATGACCCGCCGCACGATCCGCAGGTGCTCTTCCTGTGGCGTGCTGTTGGGGACAGGTGCAGCAGTTAGGAACATGTACTATACTGGGTTGCTGTTAAGAGACTTATACTAAGTCACCATAATATGGGTATATCGTATATAATAAGGTTTCCTTCCTATAGTGACTTAATTCAATTTCCGTAACAGCAACCCAGTCTTGTTACTAGTTGGTTTGTAGGGCCAGTAGGGGGTTGCGCGGATGACCTATAGACCAAGTTGGCTTGAATTGCTTGGGCCCAGTCCTGGAACAGGAGTTCTTGTAAGAGGCCACGGACGATGGAAAGCAGGTGCCACAAACATTGCTGGGGTCGTCTCCTGAGAAGCAGCACATGCCGCCCTGCTTCTCTTCCCAAGCTTCCTGCGTCATGTTGCCCCACCTGGTCGTTTCCATAAGTAGGAGGACCCCAATATCTGCCCCCGAATACTAACTGCATCTTATAGGGACCGCCCAAAACATACCACTTATTTTGGGGAAGCCCCCCACCTATCCGCCACAGGCTCTCTTGGCCTCGTGGGCTTTGACTCAGCTTCTTCGGAGTCGATGTCTGCAGGCTCATCAAAGGGATCCTCACGCTCCCGGTGTTCTGCGATGGCGGCCAGGGTTTGCTCACCCCTCAGCTGGCGCAGTGACAGTGAGCACTCCGAGTCCTCACAGTCCTCCGGAAGACTTTCAAGCTCAGCCCAGGTCTTGGCCAAGAGCAAGAGGGTGACAGCGGCCACACGCCGTGCCATAGCGCTTTGATGAAAATCGCTTAAGGGCAAGAGGGCAAAAGAGTACAAGACAATCTTGCGAGCAAGACCTTGCTCACGCAGTCTCCTTGAGCCACCCCAACAAGATCAGCGCGCATACCATGTCCATGCACTCAAGTCTCTGCAGCGCCGGTCCAATGGAGTGACGCCTCTTTCTTTCCTTTACTTACTGGTGTATAGTAGGGAATCAGGGAACAGAATACCTACATAATCGCCAATATAATATTCGCCCTTATTCCCTAACCTCCAGTAAGTTTGTTTCAACAGATTGCAGCCTCTCGTGCTCCAAGGTCTCTGACCGGTGTGTCAGGCATTCCCGGATGCAGCACGGCCTCAGAGTGAAGGGCGTGAAGCATCACAGCAACACCGAAAGTAATGATAATCGTGATTCTAATCATAGTACGAATGGCGCTAGTAGTAAGAATAGCAGAAACGACATGGACTGCGTGCAAAGACCAAGCAGTTTGTTGCTCGCTCATCCTTTATCTGGACCCTAAAGGGCAAGGATCTGCAGCAGACAATCCCCAGCAGACAATCCCCAGCAAGGTATGCCAGAAGGAATTCAGCAACTCACTTCCTTTGGCACAAACAAACATGCCAGGGTCGCGTGAAGTCGCGACCCGTCACCACTGGGAGATAGGTCTGACCAGGCAAATGGTCTTCATCGGATCTAGTTTTACATGGCTCTGCAAAGATTTTGTTTTATGATGCTGGGTGGTATACGCAAGGAAAGTAGGGTCACAACAGGAAGGCAAATACGATCAGACATCTTTCCTAGTATCTGTTGCCACTCATGGCACCGTCTGCAGACTTACACACAAACATTGAGAGCACCCCTGCATACATCCTCCCTAGCCACTCACCATTTAGCAGTTTCCTTTTTGTTTTTTGTTCCCAATATTCCCTATACAACCCTAAAGTCTATCCCCATATAACCCCATAACCCTATTAAACGCCAATATACTATCGCAGTTTTCATGTGGGGAAAGGCTGGTTCATAAACCCAGCCTCGCACTTCAAAAAACAACTCTCTTGCTCAGTTAGGGTTTAGGGTTTAGGGTGGAAGTATCTGGCGAAGGGGCTCGAACGGGATGTGTGTCAGGTCTACCTCAAAGTTATGTCAAATGAGGATAGGCGGAAACAAAGATTGGCCTGGAACAGGTTTTTCTCGTCCTAGGTGCGGCTAAGCCACATGAGCTGTACAGTAGTCTAAAGTCTAAACTCCTAGTATCCCTCTTAATAATCCCTACACTATGATCCAGGAAAGAGGATTATGGTGGATATTATGGGGAAACCATGTTGAACCCCTTGTAAGTGTGTGTCCCTTCCCAAGACCCTTACGCGCAAGGTCAAAACGACAGAGTTGAGCTTCTGCATGGAAAGCTGGGTTATGGTACAGAACTGTGATTGGTAAAGCCCAAAGTTTGCAGGAGCATTCTTTTACCCAAGGGCTGCGGGCCTTTGAAAACGATGTAGCCGAGCATAGTCATCTCGACCTGCTCGCCCCAAGAACTCAAGGGTCTTTGGCTGAAGGTCTCGTACTGCCAATAACGCAAAAAAGAAAACTTTACGACGACCATGCTCACAAGTCACGACTCTTGCAACTCAATAATTACAGTCATTTGCTGTTGCGGTTATTGCTTGCTTTTGGAATAGGGGCGCAATGCTGGCAGCTGACAACAAAAGCGGCCAAACAATGTAGCGCACACCGCCATAATTTCTAAAATGCTATCCTAAACCCTAAACTCTAAGCCCCATACGACCCTAAACCCTAAACACCAAACCCTATACTACCATAAACCCGACCCTAAACCCTAAACCTGAAACCCTACATGACCCTAAACCCTCAACTATAGACTCTATACCCTCAAAACCCTATACGCCTAAACCCTGCAGCCTTGACCCCTCGCTGGGTTTTGCTGCTCAAGTCCAGCTCCTTTTCCGTCATCTCGTCCTCCACAAAGCAAGAGCTTCTCAAATGTAATAATATACGCGGTTTAGGGTTTAGGATCCCAAAATCAGGTTACTTTGGGGACCCCCAGTGACATGTAGGGTTACACTATAGAGGGATTACTTTAAGGAATGTTCCACATTACTTGGGTTCCCATGTGGGCAGAACTCAAGTAGAGCAAGTCAGTGTCATCTTGCATGGCGCGAAGCCCATCATGAAGCTATTTTCCCCCAGTAGATAGAATATGGCTTTAATTGGGTATAGTATAACTATAACAAGATCCCCATATACCCATATTCGATCTACTTAAGGGTGACTAGCATCTAGTAGGCCGGCCTCCAAAATCTGGAGTCGCTCCTCTTCTATGTAGTACCTGCGCACGTCAATTTCCTAGATTCAGGCCGCAGCAACAACAGCATGACCAAGCGAGCTGCGGAAAGAGAGATGGGGATCAACACCAGAGAATTTGCATAGTGATTTTCGCCATGAAGCCCAAGGCCTATGACCGCTTCTGAAAGCCGGCCTATCGAGCCATCAGCCTGTAGTATGAGCTAGGACTAAGATGTAGAAGGGCAGCACGGAGCTCTGATGACGCATTTACTTTTTTATGGGCCTTCTGAGGCAGGATAAGTGGCGAGCTTTAGAAGGGTTGAACTTTACAAGATAGTACGGGACTGCAAGGGGGCCCGGGATCTGTACAAGTGGGCCAAGGCCTGCAGAAGCCGTACATGTTGAGAAGTCTACTATGGAAGTTTCTCCAAACTATGGGTCCCCATCCTAAGGACTCCAATGAATCTTTGAGAAACCACCCTATAAGCAAGGAAGCCGAAAGCCTCACAGGTGCGGCAACTCACAGGCCACAGCCTGCGGGGCTCTGAGGAAGGGCTCTACAAGCTTCCAGTCGGCCGCGTCTCACACGGGAACGTGCCACATCTCAACGGAGGTCTCGTAAGGGACATAGAAGGGATTGCCAACCTTTTCAACCTCGGCAACCTCCAAGGTGTTAATCCACGGGTGGCCTCCGCGCGTGGTTGCAACATGCTCGGATGCAATGTTGTGGCCGAGGTTCCAGTACTTTGCATGTGCTTCGCCGTCCGTGCTCTGGGGCGGCAACCCGACCACGGAAAGCACACCAATGGTGAAGAAGCCGCGGCAGTCATTGCACCAGAAATTCTCTGAGAGGTGGCTTGCCAACGCAGTCGACGCGGCCACGGCATTCCTAGACATAGGTGACGGCTGATTGTGCATCACAAAATGGATGAGGCTCCAAAGGAGGTTTGGCCTGTGGGTCCATGACCCTACCTGGGCCAAAGCATCTGCGATATGCCCCTCCCTGCCCTCCCCAAGCTTGCACTCCTCGACGCTAAGCCCAGCCAAGTCGACGCCCGTTTGGCGCCACATGCTGGCGTAGAGCTCCGGCAAAGTTGGGATTTCCCCGACAAGGTGTCTGGGCCAAAGTGCATGGAAGATGTTGTAGGTGACCTTCCTGACCTCAGCCGTGAAGGGAGCCAGGGGACCTGTCCAGTACTTACAGTGCATGGCGGAGGCCACCTCACCAGGGAACACAAGGAAGGCCGTCTGCAAGGACTCGAGCGCCCACTGCCGGTCCATGCCGGGCTGGCGCAAGGAGGTGCGTGGGCAGCGGGAGCTGTCCCACCAGGGTCCAGCGTAGCACACGTCCTTCGGCCTCTCCTTCACACACGTGGAGGGCAGCACATCGAAGTTTGGGCCGGTGCAAACCAGGCCAGGAGCACAAGCCAGGGGGCGCTCCATGGTGCCCCCGTTCGGATACACTGCGCCCTCTTCGTTTGCCGTTTGCTCCCTGCGCACAAATGCATTTGCAAAGCGGCCCTGAGTGGCCAGGGTCGGGATGCAGCTCTGGCCCTCCTGGCGGTACTTGACGCAACGTCCGTGCGAAGGCTTCCAGAGCTTATCCTCCGAGTAGCCATCGAGCTGGATGCCGTTGGCCACACCCACCGTCCTGCTGCCACAGATCCGGTCCCTGGTCAACTTCAAGGCTTCCACCGTGAGATTGCTCACGTCGCCCTGAGACGCAATCTCTTCAATCTCCGCAAAGTAGGTGGGTCCACAGAGCTCGAAGTTGGGAGTGTGGCCGTCTTTCCCCATGGCCCAAGCACCCCACTTCTCATGGGTGATGACCATGCACCACTCATCAGCCGCACAGGCGTTGCGGTCAAAGTAGCAGTCCACAACAGGAGGGACAGGGCACTCCCAGTTGTCACAATGCATTTTGATGAAATCACCTTTCTTTGCATAGTGCACCTGGTCTCCATAAACATAGGCCATATCCATGGAAGCTATGCTGCAGGCCGTGGTGAAGGGGTTTGCATACCACATGTTTCCCGCTGCGCCGTTGTACTTCTCCCTGCCACACCACAACGAGCTCTCTGTTCCATTATCAGTGCGGAGCGTACGTCCGCCCAAGGCCTTTCCTGCTTCAAGGCCTTGCTGAGCCCGCGCACTCCGCACAGCTGGGGAAGCCAAAGCCCAGTACTCGCTGGGCGACGCCAGGCTCTCAGTCAGCAAGATGGCAACGAGCAGCAGGGACGTCATTGCACCAGAAGGAAGCGAAATCTCCGAGCTAGGAGAGTTTGGGAAGCACCTAGTCAGCCGCACTCGTCTCACTGAACGGCCACAGTTTGCATCGAAGCCCCTGAAGAAATGAGCAACGCCGGCTTCAAAAATAGTAGCTTCCAGAAATGGCCACCCAAATTGCAACAGTGGGGAATCCCTATTCGCCTCGGCCTCTGGCTGACAGGCGTCTGGAACAAGCTGACCAGGATCCAGCCTTGTACCCGCTCCCCCGTTCAATTTCGTGGCTCACACCCCTCTCCGGCCCCTTAGGTCCTTCAAATCCTGACAATCGTTTTCTGGACCCCAGGCGGTTGGGGAGGGTACACTATTTTTGTCATTTTTTTTGTTTTGCACCCATTCGCCCGAAGCATCCCCCGCCCGCCCCCGCCCCCCGAAGGCCAAGCCTCACCAGACATGAATGCTGTGCGATGTCTTG